GCCGCCACGCAGGCTACAATTTTGCAGTCAGTCGCCTTCTTCGCAGAGTTGAAACCGTAAACAAAGTCTGAGCCCCTCCCTCCCCCAGATGCCTGCCATGGTTACCCCTCCCTACCCCAGATGCCTGCCATGGTTACCCCTCCCTCCCCCAGATCCCTGCCATGGTTAATAGTCACCAAAAATACAGGCGGGTTTGGAGAATCATTCCAATAGATTTCGGCGCAGTAAGTCTGACAGTCATGTGACAAAAAGGCGTTGATCCATCTAGAACTGTAGCTTCGAAAGAGCACAAAATAGTCAATATTGTGAATGAATAAATTCTCGGCGTTTTGGAATCTTCTTGAAAAGGCTCAAATTCTACAAGAAAGGGTATGAAGAACGGTTTAATTTGCACAAACGTATCAGTCGTTTTGGAATCTCCCCTCACTGTATAATAAAAGGCCATCWTGGGCAATTACAATTGCGATCTCATCAAAAATACCAAGAGTATTCAAAAACAGGAATAGGAATCTGCAAATACTTACTGCTAATTACAGTGTATTGCATCGAGGTATTTCCAGTATATTAAGAWATGAACAAAACCTACTATTTCTTTTCAGTTACGTATTTTGCTACTTTACGTGTATGGGTGGAGAAATTATTACTACGATCAAGTGGTGATTGTSCTGACTACGTTTGACCCTCTCATTAACCATTGCGTGTGCTTATGGATCATGAGGAGGTATCGTGACGGTTACGCAAGCTCGATGGGGAGCATTATGTCCTGTTTTAAGATCTCTGATGATGGTATCTGGGCCACGACTATCACAAGATTAAGTACCATTTCCAGAAGATCTACCTACTCCCGTGCATCTACAAGGTCTTCTCAGTCAAGGCATTCTTCAAAACGTAAGGGATTTATCAATAATGCAAATATCAATAAGCATGACTAGTGTATATAACATGACAATATTGGTGTTTATCTTATAATGATACACAAGGCTTGACCTGAACAAGTGGTTTTCTGTAAGAGCACGCGTAGTAGATTATCTTTTGCCGCGTGACAAAATTAGCGGTGCTTTGATCTACAATGATGCCTGGTMTTTCATGAGCTGCTAACCTGTATCCAAAATGTGCCACTTTTCTCAGTTCCAAAATCTTTTTCGAGTTTGATTTTTTTTAAATAAAAACTAGATAAAAAAACTTGGATTGAGTTACTAACTACGATTTCGTATTACTCTTCAGCTTACTTCTACAAGCAAGTTCCTCAAAATGCTGAAAATCCCAACCAAGACATCTCCCCCGAAGGAGAAGAAATTCTTGACCAAACATTAAAAAATCAAGAAAAAGATATTGGAAGTAAAGGGGTGAGTTCAGACGGTAAACGGGAATGGTCAGAGATTATAAGGGAACTTAAAGCAGAGAAAGAAACGCACGAAGAYCAGAAGACATTATCTCCGGACGAGATTAAAACTGTCGAGAAGGGCGCGCTGCATGATCCTGAAATCTTGGAGCAGGGTGAATTGTCATTAAAAAAATGGAAAACATCATTGCAAAAATTAAAATCAACAAAAGCAGAAAAACATGATTCATCAAAACATCTTCAGCACGATATTCTTGTTACATTGCATGAACAACGAGAAGATATATCAGAGCATCAGTCAACTGAGGTAAAGAATGACACCGTACCACAGAAGGACGACACGACAAGAAGTCGTGGGAATTCTTCATCCGACGACGAAGAAGCAAAGGAAGAATGGACTGAGAGGATTTCCGACAAACTTAGCAAACAAGCAAAACCCGAAGCAAAACATACCCATGATCAACTAGACAAGTCTAACCTCCCAGAACTTCTCCAAGAACTTAAGACAGCCAAATCCGAAGATGAGCCAGAACTTCTGAAGCATGGATCGACATCTAAAGGAGGAGGGGAAGGACAAGCGGATTTGCCAGAAATCGTTCAGGACGCTGCCTCGAAGGATGACGGACCACCATCGGAGGCATCAATGAGCTCAGAACCAAGTGAGGTAAAGGCCGAGAGAGATCAAATAGCTGAAAGTTTACAAGATGCTTTACAGTCTGATAACGAGGATTAACGACTAACCAGAAAACTGGAACTTAGATAGAATGACCTATAGTCTTAATCACAATATATATAATTGTTTCCTAAATAGGAACTCTAAGGCAGGCCCACAAACGTTTCAAATAAATGCATGGACTTATTTACTAATTTWATGAAGAAATGATGCAGTCTGACTGATACTTCAGTCTACTGAATCTACGTATAACAAGTGTGCCGAACAATCTGTTGCTTCATCATATCACAGCAACACATTCATTTTAATTTGATAAGCGTTGGTTTCGATGGATCGAGTCCACTGCAAACATATATGATACATATGGTCCATATACGAAGAGTACTCCGGACAACATAATATTGGACTGCAGTAAGATAGGGACGCCAAGCCAAGGGGAAAAAGATTCAGAAGATTCCATAGTAAAACCTCAGTACGTAACCCCTCAGGTAAACTTGAATAGAAAAATGAAGAACAAAATCGTTCAGCTTGTCGCTCAACATTGCTGTTTTCCACGGCTTAGATAAAGTTACTTGGGACAAAGTAGTTGCAACGAAAGATTTTCAAGCAATAGTTTTGTCCACTGAAGAGAATGTAAAGTGGTTGAAGTTTTGGTGCAACGTCATTTGACGTTTAGCGCAACAGCCGCCGGGAGCCTCAGTGCTCAGTGTCTCTGAACGCACGAGCGGATTTTGTATGACTGCGCATTGCGTGAGTGTACCATGCATAAGGGCGACGTATTTTGAATCAATGTTTTCATTTATCAACACTACCAGGCAATGTTCTGTGACTGTGTCGTGTCATGTTTTGACAAGTCAAAACTGGCAACGTTGCGAGTTGGTCCTTATTGTTACCTATGGACTTGTCGTTAATTGATCAAGTGTCCTTTATAGCATCATCCGGCACTTTGTCACGTGAAAGAAAGAATTATAAATGGGAATGCACTTGCCAAGTGACATGTTCGACTTGGAAGTGAAAACAGCATCAACTGAGAGAAAGTTATTGCTTAATACCTTTAGTTAGAGGTTGTATATACTTATGCTTCGAATACAAAAAGAAACGCCATGACGATTTGCCCCTCTAGCAGAGCAATGCTGGGCGGCAAGTTCACTTTTACATTGTCTGCTTTTAACGTTACAATTGGCTTAGCAGTGATGAAAACATGTGCTGCACAACCTCCCTGCAAAGCGTTTTGTTCGCGCCTTTTCGAATATGGGCACTACCTTCGAATGGACATTGATTACAAGGCTTGYATGCTGACATTTTGCTCGTTTGTTTTCGCTGTACTGTGGTCTGGGTTAAACGTTTCACTGTGCGTTTTCAAATTAAGGGGTCCTCTCACATGCCCATGCTATCCATTACATTGTCATGTGCGATAATACGCGCGAATTGTGATCGAATTTAATATATTTGCATCATCAGTGTTTATATCGAGCAAGGGGGGTTCTTCATTGAGTGAAGGATTAGCAAATGAATTTCAATAGATAATTTGAAATTAAATTTTGATATTCATGAACTTTAAGGGAAAAGTGTAAATACGACATTATATTTTTATGCGATAAATGCGATCGTCAAGATGGGGCAATAAGTCAATATATATATGCACTAGAATAAACCTATACGATTTTATTTCATGTCAGACCCTCTAAACTGATGGGGTGGTGGCAACCATCCCAAAATTACCGTTAATAACACATACATTCTTCTTAAGATATTTCGTTTATTTTTTAGAATTATTTCCGTGGGGTGGATAGCCCATCCCAAGCCAACTCTGTTCCAAAAACGCCTGTACATGGAAAGCTCGCTAATTTTTTGACTTGAATGTAGCTTTTCGTAAGATTAATGAAAACCGTATAGTTATTTCCAAAAAATAGCGGAAAAAWTTTTTTGAATGAACGAGGTATTCATAACTAATGAATATGGGAAAACTTGCACTCCGATTTGATAGCGAGAAGAGAAATGGCGACAAGATTTTGATTTACGTTTTGAACACTATGAAAATAAAATTGCTTATAATCCAGAATATCCATTTCAAGGTTTTCGATACAATAAACAAGTTTTCCATTCATTATTGCTTACATGTAGGCACACGATAGTTTAAAAAATACTTTGCTTATTACTGGATGTTTATTACTCAGGCCATTTTGAGCCATTTCTATCATTCAATCTAAGAATGATAGAAGTGACTCAACGCTTTCTCAAAATGACCTGAAACTCCACAGGAATAGAAAGAAAACCACAAATCACAGGTAGAGATGTTTATTTTTTATTAAATCAACATATTTCGCAAAATTACTAAAAACGGTTAAAATACATAGCTTGGGCTACCTGTGGTCTAGTTGTACTCTCGATAAGTATTAACATTGTAGTTTTTTTAATTCATTTTAATATTCCTAAAATCTCAATCAAGTTTTCATAATTTGTAAGTGTAGCGTAAGCCAAATCGGAGTTTCACTGAACTGCGTGCGTTAAAAATTACAATAACTGTCAAAGTAGTCGAATGAAGCGAAAATAATGATTCTTTTTTTACTCTATAAATATTCAGTGTTGTTCCGACGCACGCATACTTTTGAATTCTGTTGTTGTAAACTCCGATAAGGCTTATAGCACTGAATAATATATGGGTAATAGATGAAGAAAAACAAAAAAAACAAAAACAGAAAATCAAAAGGCACTATAATAACTAAAGTAACTATATTTTAGTGACAATTGTGTTTTTACGATAATCCTGCCATATAATAATCGTGCTAGATTTTTGCAATGGTCTCTTTCCATAACGACGTGAGCGAGATGCACCATGGGATTAAGAAAGTACAAGCTGAGCCAAGTTGTTGTTCATTCGTGTTTTTGGTGTCTCATATCGTAAATTTCGCGAAGAAACTTTCATCACCGTAGCTTTTACAAGACATCTGCCATACTTGATACTTTCGTCACGATACCATGATGCACTTCGTCAAAACATACATGACGGTTAGACTGCCATATTATTGCGCCGCTTTCGACCTATCACTCACATCATTGATTTGCATTATGGTGTTACATACTACCAAGACCAGAATGCTTTGCGCACTTTCTTTTGTAATGTTATTAGTCCGAATTATACTAATTTCCAAAGTTATCAAAATTCTGAATAACAAACAATATACGAAGTGAGAAAAGCATCCTGATGTTGGCAGTATGCGACGCCGTAATGCAAATCGAAACAAGCGACCATCGCCTTGTTTCGCGCTACGATTGCCTAGTTTCGTGCGGTGATCGTTCTAGTTTCGTTCGACGATCGTGCTAGTTTCGTACGATGATCGTGCTAGATTCTATGGACGATCGTAGCACCTTCCCTGGGATCTAGTCTCTTTTAACAGCCACGACTTCCGGTCTCGTCAAATTTCCTCCCCGAAAGTAATATGGAGAGGAAATATGACGAGACCGGAAGTCGCGGCTGTTAAAAGACACTACTGGGATCGTGATTGATTCGTCGCAGGTATTTGAATTTCCGGTTACAATAAACTATATATCAAGAGTGACAAGTACAACGATATTTTTGTTTCTCTGTTATGATCGTGTCAAAAATGATGCAAATTGTAAATGTTGTATTCAGTCATATTTATGAAATCGAATCACTTATAAATTATTTCAAATAATTCCCTTCACAGCAAATCACACGTGGTTTGGACTGTTCACGATGCCAAATTTAGAAATGTTATTATATAGTTGGAATCGACAAAAGTTTCAGAAACTTGTGTCCACAATTGTTTCGTCCTAGATACGTGGGTGAACTATGCGCTCCTGTTTGACAGCGAGTTTGTTTAAGACGAAGATTTAAAAGATAATTTATTTTACGTAACTAGAGCATTATTATTTATTGTTTTACTATGAAGTAATGTTGGGAAACATCTAATAAAGGTTAAAACACTTTATGGTTGTTTTTAAAAGATAAATGTCAAAATGCTAAATATCTAGCAGCCTAATTCCCAGACCATATCCGATTCTTTCTTATGAGTTTGAACCGCGCTCGGGACCTCAGGCGTCGTTCTAGCAGAACGTTACGCAAGGCTGACAAGGGGTGAGTATGGGATTCTTCAGGGAGGGGTGCAGGTCAACGAAGAGGTTGTTCATACCACATAAATGGCCACATGGAGAGACAGGGAAAAGTATTAAATTTCTGTCAGACGGGTGTGCATCCCGTTCACAACCAGCTGGATCCGCCACTGGAGATTCTGAAAGGACTGTAAGTATTTCTCAAGGCTCTCTGGTTTAAGGTGATATTTCGGGTGTAATATCTTTCTCTTTTATAAATATACAGTGCAAGACACTTGACAGAGAGAATCCAAAACTAATAGGTACTTTGTTACTGGTGCTCACGCGATGCCTACCTATCAATCAGCTACGAAAAAATGGTGAAATGACTAAATCAGATAAAAATCGTTAAGAAAACAAGTGTTAGAGTTAAATTGTTAAATGATAAGGAAAATATAAATCCTTGTAGAAATACTCATATCTGTTTCTTTCGAATTTTTACATACTAGTCAAAATAGGTTATATTCAAAAGGTTTGATCGAGTTTGATAAAATCTGTATCTCTGCGCGCCCATCGAGTCATATCCTCTTAGTCTATGAGTATATAATTGTTTATTAAAGCCTTAGTGTTTTTGAGATCCTTGCATAAACGTTCCTAAAAAAAACCAAGAAAACAAAGATTTTAACCAGAATTTCACAAAAACGTACTCATTGTCAAACAAAACATTTTCATGGCAAACCTTCTGCATCATATTCCTTGACGCGTCCAGGAAGAGTGAAGGTTAGGCCTGAGGTACTGTTGTACAGGACTACTCGGTCACTGTCGTAACTAGCTTCGTATAACGTCCGGTAATCTGCAAAGCTAAAACAAAATGAATTATCTTGTTAGCTCATATTGCTCTTCCTAAATTATGAAAGTAATATTGAATTTGGCTTTTTTCTCAACTTAAGAGTTGTTTTACTTATTACTTAATCAACCTCGACTCGAATTCATACTGCGTGAGATCCTAGCAACAGCAACAACGCAAACAGTAATATGAGAATAATCAGTACGAATGGAGGACACACTCTATGTTGAGAATTGAGTATTAAGTTATAGTATTCACTAATATTTTTTCGCATTACTTTGTTACCTAACACTGGATGGTCCTGACAAGCCGCCACCTGACGCATAAACGTCAATCAGTTCTCCTTGAAAGCACAACACACAATAAGAATGACATAGCGTTGTATAGTGTGATTTAYTTAKCAACAACAACAAAAACAAAAAWGAAACACATACACASACCATAATGCAAGTCAAAAACAAAAACATTTGGATAAAGGTTTGAAATCACTAATCCTATTGAGGGTTACAGAATTTATCGGCCTAACAACTATGTACATAAAAAAGTGTCAATGATAGTTCTATTAATGATAATGATACAATGATGTACCTGTTTTTCCACTGTATCTTAAAATACTGTTCGTTACATAGCTTGTTACATATACATTCCTACAAGAGAATACACAGGCCAAGGAGTTGTCATTCACAACCTTGTATCCCCTAGGAATTTTCCTTGGCACACCCTAATATAATAACTGATAAGCATATGGGGCAATAATTATTCCCTCATAAATGAAACGTACCTATCAGAGCCTACAGTTATACCAACAGGGCGTTCAACCTTTGCAAATTCACCAAGAAATTCATCTTACATGTAATTGAATGAAAAAAGGAAAAAAATATGTTAATAATACAAACATTTCTAAAAGATTATTGTGTTTGAACCAATGATGGGGGTGCATTCCTCCAAAATTGTCCAAAAGGAAAGATAACTAAATGGAATTAGGAAAAAGGGAAAAATACTAAAAAGTATTAGGTCACCTAACAGCTGGATCCACCCCTGCCATCACATTGAAATAACCTGTCATTGAAATATTGTAAAGTGTACAGCTGAAAGAAAAAGCTGCCCAATGACTTACTGGTTGTACTGTTGATTTTCAATATTCTGTTTGTGTAGTGACTAGAAACCAAAAGAGTCCCATTTGAAAGCAAAGCGACATCTTCTGGTCTTAAAATGATAAAATAAAACACAAATGACAATATGGTGCAATTCAAAGGGTAATCAAACACTAGGCACATTACCAAATAGCAACATACCCTTTTATTCCATTACTTTTGTCTGCCACCTACAGAAAACATCAATGAAAAAATTAGATTTGAACAATAATGAATAAGCCTTATTGATTTGTTCCATCATTTGATAAACACAATACATATAAGAAAGAATGGGATTAAGACTATTTATTGAGCTCTGATTGGAAGATTAATTTAAATCATTACTCATTAACTTACCACTCCAAGAAAGTTTCCGTCAAGTGAGTACTTCAATATCTTATCATTCAAGAAACTTGTTACAAAAAGAGTTCTATTTGGTCCAATTGCCATTCCTTCTGGACAGTCTAGTGAATCATCCTCACTACCAAATGCTCCAGCAAAATTACCAGATTCTAAGTGATATTTATGTATTCTGTCTGTCGTAAAACTTGCAACATACAAAAATGTTCCATCTGGCAAAGAATTTTTTTGTTAAAATCTTATTATTTTAACATCAATTCTTGATAAGCAGGGGGGAGTACCTGCCAGTTAAAAGACAAGTCAAGTAACACTTGCATGCGTGGCCATGTGATAGTGCCTTTGTTCCAAAGCCTAAGTCCAGGTTCGAGACCCAAATGAGTACATACATGTATTTCTTTGATTTCTTTATTTGCCAAAGAATATAATTTTGAACACAAGTAATGCAGGCACAAATTTACAGGAAAGTGAGTGACTTAGTGAGTGACAGAATTGTCCCCCTCCAATAACTCTTCAGTGCTTCAAAATCTTTTACTTAAAAATGATCTGTTAACCTAACTTGCACAAACCTACTGGGTCTAAATTCAGCCAGTCATATTTTTTGCACTGTTGCAAGATTTAGCTTGGGTTATGGCCTGAGTTGTAGGCCTGGGTTGTTTTAGGGACAATTAATAATTTGTACAATTATGTATTACAGCCTGAAGATATTTTCCCCAACAAATAAACTAGCAAATATTTACATGCTGACTTACACAAAAATTCAAAAAAAAAACAACATGAAATAAGAAGGAGTTCTGTCAAGATTTACCTGATACCATACCCCAAGGACCATCTAGTCCATGACCACTTGTAAATATTCTAACAACACTTCCACTTTGTCTGGTATCAGACACATATAGAACCTTAAATAATAAACCATTAAAAGATGATTTGTATTAATTATTGGTTAATACTGTTGTTATCTACGTGGCCAGCACGAGATAAACTATGCATGTCAGCCTGCATACAGATGTTACCTGTAGAGGGAAGAGCATTTGAGGAACACCAGTGTATGCAGTATAACTGCCATGGTCAATGTGTAATACTTCAATAGGCCCTATACAGCTAGGGGTCAAGCAACATTGATCAAAGATGATTTCTTTTGTTTCTATAGACCTATCCACCATGACCATGATTTTGTTAGTTACTTATTCATCCATTCACTCATTTATTTATTTACTGCTTGTGTTATAGAAAGAAAATGTGACAGGTCATGTGACCTTGCCTTCCAAAACATGTGCTTAATTGACAAAAGTGCAAAATATGTGATTCTTAAGCAATGCTCTCAACATAGTTTTGACAGAACTTCTCTTCTTCAGAACTTTCTAATCTTATCAACTCTGAGGTGTGTTTTTTTGTGTTCTGCGTTTTTGTTAAATATGATTATTATTTAATTAAAGGTATAAATGTGTACCCAGTAGGGAAAGTTGTACAATATGTGCAATTAAGTAGACTGTGCCATACCTGATCATCTAAAAAACTGTACAATGATGCAATATTATGGGTATTTACATGAAATCAATAAAACAGATGCAGTTAGTAAAACATAATGAGGACTGGGTCAATACCACAATTTCATTATGATTTATGATAAGCTGTAAAATATATTGACAACTAATTAAAACTGCAAGAGCGACAAAATTATCACTTACCTCGAAATAAATAGAGAATGATAAGGTGTAGCCAATATATAAGATGGTTTTTTAACTTTGTTTAATTCTTTTACAATTTGKGTAATTTTCCCCTCCCTGGAAAAATTAAAAACAATTTTTGTGGCWGTTTGCAGAATTATTTATCAAAGAACAATGGAATCCCTTACAAAGCTTTTACTTTAATTCTCTATCAAATGATTGACATGCATCATCTCATTTTTCATGATATAAGAGTCTTATATAAAAAACTATCGAGCACTGAATGCAGGTTAGGATTTAAGTAATGGTCTGAGTAAGAAGCAGGCAAGCAAACGGCAATGGAATGCATGAAGGTGCTAATTTTGTATTGTATAATCCAGCCATCTCATTGGTTAAAACATTAAAATCTGACATAATTTCAAAAGTAATCGCATTTTTAAATATTTCATTTAATATCTGATTCTAACTTCATAAAAGCTTTCCTTAGCTTTAATATTAATAGCAATTCTATGTGGGGAACATAGCAAATTAGAAGCATCTTTTGGCTATTGTTTTGAGTGCTTATGATTGAACAAGGTCTTTTAATACAAAAGAAACTTTGTTTCAAAACAGAGTTTATCCACATTTTATTTTAAAAGTGTGTTACCCATAGGTTGATACATAATCAGTGTGAAAACCAAGAYATTYGTATGTGGGRAAGTTGCAATTGCCGCAGAACAATAGAAGGTTGCCTGCTTTTTGCGCGCATTGTTACTTAAACAATAGGAATTTTGAAACAAGTTTACTGTATGGAAATGGAAGATGCTCAAAATGTGAAAAAAATGTGCACTTTAAGTATTAGCAAATCTCATATCCAGCAGGTTGARCACACATGGAATTTCCAAAAGAATTGGGTAGGTGAAGCCTTCGTAGCAAGATTTAAATATTAATTCCACTAAAAATTAATGTAAAACTCAAGGGAGTATTCTGAGTTGTATCATTGCAACTTACCATAAATAATGCGCTACCTGAAACGAAGGATTCACAAAAGTGTCTGGTAAAGGTATTTGTTGTGCTACACAATATCCAAACCTATGTAGACAGAAATTAGCAACAACAAAAAACTTTAGCGTATTTCATATAACCTCCTAAAAGACCCATGTAAGGAATAAAAAGGAATAAAGATTTGAACAAGCACCAAATGATTCCCAGCTATCCTCGTATCACGAATTTCCACTCACCATTTTGAAATGAAAAGTATTAAAACATTAAGAATTTTTAAAATATTGTTCATTGATTCAGCCATATTGTATTTTACCCATAAGTCATTTCCTGCGGAGGTAAACAAACTATTACACAGGTATCCCAATAGAACATGACAAATATTTCACACTTTTTTGAGCGATATTGAATGTTTACGTTTGCAATCATGATTCGGATAAAAACTATTTTCAAAAGCCTGTTCTTGTAATTGATGTAAAATAGCATCATAAATGAAATTCTTTATATTTTGCAAATGAGATAGTATTGATTTACATAATCCTTTGTTTGGTAACAGCATGACTAGCATGACCACCATTTGGAGTATTCGATGTTGTGTGTATAATATTAATGCGCATAATTACCTCCATGTTGCTCGTTTTCCATTTTTCAGTTATGATAAACAATACTGACATAGGGCTATTGTTCCTGCATTGTCAGTACTGAGGGTGAGAACGAATTTGTCTTATTCGATCGATGAAAAGCAAGCGAAAGTACAGCTGAAGCGTAGTCAGGAAGAAAGGACTTTCGCATTGCCAATGTGCTAAACAAGTATCGATCTGTTTACTCGATCTTGTCTAATTGGATTTCACCAGACAAAAGTAGGCATCATCGAATGAAAGTGCAACAGTACTCAATTGATTGATTCACGGGTCTTCCACTCAAGACCGATTTGCTACAAGCTATGCTACAAGTGGTGAAGTACCTTTCGTGGTTCTAGTGATTTGTAAAATGGTTTTAACATAGGACACACTCTATTTACTACAAAATGAGTGACAACAAGGCGAACGAGCGAAGTGAGATTGTGAAGGAAAGATTCAGACGAGCAGCTCGAAAGGTCAAAAATTACTGGATTTTTACCCGACGGTAAGCTATTGAATATGTTGCATACAGATATTCAAGGATAAGCATACACTAAATTAAGTGGACTTCATTCAATAAAGAAAAATGGCTAACTTTAATTTTGGAAGAGGCAATCGGATCTATTCTGTAAGTACTGAAAATGGAATGATTCTTTTCTTTAGTTGATGATTATAGAAGTGAATTAATTTTAGAGGTCTATAGAATATACTTCAGAATACGGCGTAATTATATACAGTTGTAATATTTTGTTTCGGCTTGTTTGGAATATGTAGGAACTGATCATAGATTTTTATTTGTTTACACACGATCGAGAGCCGAAAGACTAGCTGAAAGTAAATACGAGTCAAATAAACATGAGGTSTTCGACAGCAATGCTTCAGTTGTATTAATACATATTTATAGTTCTTATCAATTCTAAGAGTGTCCAATACTCGGTGAAAATCAATTCTGTAATAAGACTCAACCASTTTGTAGTASTCGTTGCGAAGCTTTAATGTTTTGTCTGAGTTACTTTCGTCATGTGACGTAATTATTGACGTAAAAACTTTTACAGTAACATTATATATAGTCAAACAAAGTTTTAGCAGGTTATTGTTGTGCAGTAAGAAACAGTGTGTTATACTGGGTTGTGACTCATTTTTTCTTTTGTTTTCATTCTTTTATTTATCTATTTATWTTTTGAGGTGCTACATRTATGATGGYTTCAGTAGGCGGATGTACTGATTTTCCGACAGCATCTCATCGATCAAGTACATGCATTTCTACTTTAAAAACGTATTTCTGCTATCAGCGTACATACTGGTAGTATAAAGGATTTCAGTGATTCTAATTCAGCTCTCATATAAAGCTGTATCAACTAATTCATGCATCATCTTAATAATTTATTTAGATTTTTTGATATGACGTCATTGTCGTCGTACAATGAGAAGAGTGAAATGTTTCATACGCCCAGAATCGTATCGGAACTTATACTTGGGGCGTTTGCGTCAAAGTCAAATGTGAGAATAAATGTGTGTGTCTAAAATATGATTCGATGCTGAGAATATGTTACTATTTGATCGCTGTTGTATACTACTTGTGAGTGGGATATGAACTTGACTACMATGAGTTGTTCGACCTTCATATTCTGCTGATCAAGTTGTTGGATGGAGGAACAGATACTATATATACAGCATTGTGGATCTAATTTGTGATTTCTGATTGTATTTATTTTACAAACCCAGTTTTAAATCGAGGCGCGTTATGCAGCAGACATGCGCATTCGCGCACCGGTAGGACTTGAACAACATCAAGTAGAAACGAAAAGGGGAAAAGAACTTTGTCGCTGGTCTTTTTAGATTATAACCTCCAGCCTTAGGGCTGCTATGAAGGAGGGATGTCTCTTGTAACTGTACTTCGCTCTCCATCCTCTGAGAACACAAGCACATGTACAGACTCGGTAAATATAGAGCTGTCATTTTGATTTAAAATGTTGTGTGTGAAACCTGACATGCTTCTCGATTTTTCGACGTTCATTTCGATATTTTTTATTAAACCTTGGCTGTTAGGAGCTAGAAGAAGATGTCGAGGAAGGATCGCCAAGGTCTAGAACGTAAGTCTGTCAACAATTACAGACATTTAATTTAATATATAACCTATTTCGTTCAAGTCGTGGTAATTTTGCCGTGCAGAAATGTGTATGCATACATCTTGTACGTGAAGTACTGACAATCTGTTGTCAGATTGTATCGTCTTGAATAGCACTCTTTTTAATTTGAAACCACAACTTGTTCCACATTTAATTCTAGAATGAWCAATACGTGGACGATAATGAACGAGGTCTAAAAAYTAGAACAATTCAACTGGCGATGATCAGTGTGGTTGTCTGCTTGAATTAAAAATGTGACTCAAAAATTTGTGCATTTGTGATATGCTTTTKACCTGCAAGCTTTTAAGTTACTAGTATATACGGTKGCTTTTCACATAGTAGTGGTGAAARCCTCTTCAGAWCAATTTATTCGATCAGGTCATTTCCGTATCGACCCTATCGTATAGATCAGAAAGATAAACTTACATGTAAGCTTAAGTTACATACACCAAAAATAAGAGTTTGAGGTTTCTGATCTTGAAGACATTAACTTATTTACATTTGAAATTCACTCTCAAGTGAATCAATACAGCCTGTATTGTTCTTAATGCAAAGCTGAAAATATTATATTACATGCATTAACAAACTCATTTTCACTATTCCTGATAGTTGAGCCCTTCTTTCTATAGCATATGTTTAGGCAAGTCCATATTTTGAATCAATATAGTTTTATTGATAAATATTCAGAAGACATGCTGAGAGTGACAAAAACATTTTGGAAAGGATTTTAACATTAATTTAAAAGTTAACAGCATTTGTTGTGATATGAATTGTGACAGCAACTCTCAATTTGATACCTCAATGTAATGAGAACTGTTTCATATTTATATGTTTACTTATAGCTGGCCTTGACTTTTTTACTTTATACTTTGGACTCTAAGTCTTTTTCCAAAAATAGATTATAAGTCCTGTGAACTGGTAGTATTCAGACTAAACAATAGGAATAATCAAGATATTTCTCCCGTGAGATTCTTTAACCCGCCTATTACAATATAGTTAATCTTTAGTTTAAGGCTGGACTAATCTGACTATAGCTGGTGGCCTTTTTATGATTTGATCATTAATCACTCAATCTCTATAATTTTCAACTCATTCCACTGTGTTACTGATTAGGTAATAGTCATGTGAAGATATATGTAGATACATACATGCCTAAATATCACCCTCAAAGCTGCACATGTTTTTAAGTTGTATGCTAATTTTATGGGTATAACTCAATTTGGTATGTTACTAGTTTGTGCATATATACTCTCCTCCAAGCAAAAGACATTACAAGTAATGTATAATCTAGTCAAAGTCTAAATGGTACACCCACATCAAACATACTCAGTCAGAAGAAGGTATGAAAATTTCAAAGCATAACATGTTTTTAATAAGATCTATTTGTCATTAGTGTTAACAAAACATCATTTATCAAAAAGTTGATTTTAGTCAAGTTTTTGGACTTAATTAAAGGTAGACTACATTGAGGTAAAAATAATGGTAACATCTACTCTTAGTGATAATCCATGTTTTAAATTGTTTGTACCAATTGTTATCTCAGTTTAAATTTTTGGAAGACTAATGTTGTGATTTCATTAATGAATTCAAAGTTTACTTGTCTGTTTAGACAACACAAACATTCTTAAATATTGATAGAATCTTCTTTATAATTAAATTGCAAGGTGGCTATGCTTTCTAAATCTTAAGTCTTTTTTGCAATTATTGTGTACAATTGTTACAAGATGGCAAATTAGCAAATACTGCATAGACCTTAATCTTTGTATATTGTTACTTTAAGAGTACAACCACACTCCATAGTTATAATATTCAGATTGCTATTATGAAAATTATCTGGATGTATTTAAATGAATAAATGTATACTATTATCACATCTGATGCAGAAACTAGCATCAGCTAAAAAATGCACAAATCAAATTAATGAAAGCTTCTATGAATAAATTGAAAGTGAATATCAGAAGAAGCTGACATTCAGCATTTCTCTTTTGTTTTGTTTTATATATGCCTGAAGCACCTCAAGGTCACATGAAGTTCAACATGTGCTAGTAGCTCATGCATAAAGTTAACTATTAAACAGATCAGATCAAAAGAAACCTTTGCTTTGAGAGTATAATATTTAGCCACATGTTTAGTAAGACATGACCAATATGACAAGGATTGTCAAATTTTTTGAGAAGTTTCCATGGCCTTTTTTTGTGCATTAATTTTGTTGGATTTTAGTCTTTTTTATCGAGTTTTGTGTTGGGCTCTGTCATCCAACCCCATATGTATCGATGTATCTTAATTAAAAGTCCATGTAGTCCAGTAATATGTGGTTTGGAGAAGTTTACACAGTTCTGTTTATATGATAAGCTATGAATATTCATGTTATAATTATAACAAGGTAGCATACATGTAGCTGCAGTAGAATGTACAGAATTGTAAAATACTTCAATAACATGGATTCCTTTACAGAATCAATAATACCAACTTTAGTGCAAAAATGAATCTTTAGAATAGTAAATGATATATAATTTAGTGATGTACAAAGTAATACGTTATGTGAAAAGAATCTGAAACCAAAAGTAAGGACTTGGATAATAAAAAAGCTAATCAAAATAATTATTGTTTTTTTCCAAGTTGTCTAATTGTTGAAATCTGAACTTTTCATTTTATGAAACTTAATTAAAACTGCTTTGATGCACATATTAAGTAAAGTTTTTTTCAATTGCTAATAAGACATGCATTGTTTACCTTATGGGTCTATTATATATTATTGTACATATAATATGTCTTGAAGTGAGATCAGTCTGTCTTTCAGGGGTGATGTTCACAAGAAAACTTAGTCTATCTATTGTACAAAGATCATTGAATGGGGCACAGCAATCTTTATAGTTCTGTTTTATATCACAGATCAAGTTTTGAGGGTTTCTTTGCATCCAAGGGTTCAGCATTTGCTTTACCAGATGGCGACTTTGCAAGGAAAGCATCCAAGCATGGAGGTACAACGTGCATGAAAGTTATTTATAGTCTGGTTAGCTGATTTTTACCAACAGTCACATATATTATAATTCATTTCTCTTTTTAGTGCAATATAAGCAATGCATATGTTTTCAAAGTTCCTTCTATTCCATATTATTATCCTGTCATAGAAGCTGATTGTACAGTATTTGTGCTGTGCTTGAATTTGTACAGTTAATGAAAATTATATCAATCTCATTCTTTTATAGGTGAAATGCAAATGCATCTACAGTCTATGGTGAATTTGTTAAGAGATGATGATGTTCTGAGACTGGTTAGTTTTGAACTCTTGAAAATGCTATTAAGCATTACAATTGTCATTGGACTTTCATAACTACAACTGATGCGTTAATAAATAATTGGTATTCACTCAAATACTCAAAAACTCAAATTGTTATGTGTTAGGTTGTTAAACTTGAGGGTGCTTCAAAAGACAGAGTTCGTTACTTGACAGTGGTGTCAGCTTTCAATGAAGATGATATTGAAGAAAGCATTGCAATGGGTGTTGATTGGGTTAATACAAGGTAATTGTTATGAGAAATCATATGGGTGTATGAAGTGTTAAATATAATTCTTTTCGTGTTTCTTTTTTTGTTTCTGTGAAATAGTGATTTCAAGTCAAATTAAAAGCACTTTGTCATTAGTATGTAGATACTATTTGTTTTCATAATCTCAGAGTTATAAATTTCATCTTTTTATTTAGTTCAAAAAAGTTAAAAATAAAATGATTAACTTGTGGTAGTGCTGTTAAAGATTACTTTCACAAAGAGGTGACTTGTGCTCTGTGTGTAAGACATTTGCTTTGTTTTTTTTTAGAGCTACTTGCACAATTGGAATGGTCCTACCTTTATGGAGAGATGCAAAAATTGAACTTGATGGTGATGGGTAAGTAAAAAAATGTACTTTCAACACAACATATAATATTYTGCTTCTTGATTCATCTAGTAGTTAATATTGGATTTATTTTGTTTCAGTGGTTTCAAACTTACAACCAATTATAAAAGTCATATTYTAAAGCCAGTTTCTGTTCAAACAATGTGGTAAGTCCAACCAACAGGAGCCAKTGTTCTGAAGGGTGAATAGTGCTATCCACGAAATACATGATTGTACATCCCTGTCCAGAGGATAAAATCTATGGAGTGAATAACTTTATCCATCTTTTGTATAGCTTGGTCATGTAGTTTAAACTTGTAACTTTGATTTCTGAAAACTCATACAGTAAAAATTATGTAATATATGTTGGTTATCAAATGATTAGTACTGCACTGTTTCCATGCAGCAATCATATGCTAAGTGAACATAAAGATATCAAGTTGTATGTGTACTAGCTTCATAAATTTTCAATTATTTGTAGGACTGCAGTCCAGTGGATTCACAGATGTTCTGAAAATGCAAGAAAAAACAACCAATTTCCTAATGGTCTGTCGCACCAGTGGTCTAACTTTTATTCCAGTCATATATCTTCTGACCAGGCATGCATCAATGAATGGTGAGCTTCATTATTGTTACGTTGTTACAATTTGTTATGACTTTTGGTAGTAATAATTATTGGTGTTCTTTTACTCTGAGGCATGAGATGGAAGACATCAGTTCAAAGCTCATTCAGTTGCCTACTGGAATAACGTTAGTGTTTTATAGTTCTTCATACTYATTTCTCAGTMTTGTTTCTYGATAATAAGCTTCAGCTTACAGACTTTTTGAAAGCTTGCTGTGGTTATTTTTTTTATTTTACCCCTCTCATTTCAGTCAAGAGGAAGAGCTGATGATGAAACTTATAAAGCACAGRTTAAAAGAAGTAAGTCAGAAAATCATAATTTATGATAATTATGGTAATGCACAACTTCAGTATTCATTAAATTGTGCTGAGCTTCACACCCCTGGTGCATCCTCAGGAATGCGCTCTTGTTAGGACACTCTAGTTTTTCAGTTATAATTTTTCTTTACTTGTGCTTTGGTACATAGATATATGTAGTACTTCATCATGTGTATCAGGCGATTTATAATAAGTAT